CTGAGAATACAAGTAAAAATGCAGAATGTACCTTCTCCTCCATAACTTGCTTCAGGATAGAAAGGGCAATGGTTTCAGCTTCCTTAAGAGTCAGATCCTGAAAGCACGCAATATATGGGTCATATAACTGAAAACTCTAAGGTCCTGATTGGTATAATGGAACGGAATGTCGTAGGAATAGAATGAATTGAAGAATGGAATAATTATGGGAATAGAATGAAACAAGTTTTGTCTTTGATGCGTTTGGTATGCAGAAGGAATAAGACCTGAAGGGAATGACATTATCATTTTTTATTATAAAAATAAATAAAAGCTTTTCTAAAAAAATAATATATTTTTAATAAATTATATATAAATGCTTTATTTAATAATATATAAAAATAAAATAATATATATAAAAATAAAATAATATATTTTTAAATTATATATAATAAATAATATATTCTTAAAATTAATATTTTTAGTATATAAAAAATAATATATTTTTAATAATATATAAAAATAAAAAGTAATATATTTTTATTAATATATATTTTTATTTTTTAATTAAACAATAAATAAAAGTAAGTTTTCAATTTTTTTTTTTAACTTTATTTTTTAAAATAATATATTTTTAATAATATATAAAAAATAAAAGTAATATATTTTTAATAATATATACTTTTTATATTTTATAATGATATATTTTTAATAATATATTTTTCAAAGTAATATATTTTTAATATATAAAAAATAATATATTTGTATTAATATATAAAAATCTGTCCATTGCATATGGAGCTGGAAGAGTCATTGTTGAAAATTCTCCTGGCATAGTGCTAATAATGGACTAAATCAAAATGACTCAATTAAATTCTAGTGCTTCTTCTATTAGTGAAGTTTCTAGAAAAAAATATATCAAACGACGCAACGCACCTTGGGTCGCTATGGAAACAGCCTCCTTGTATAATTACAAGGGTAAGGTCTGCGTACAACTGACCCCCCAGACCCCAACCTGTTGGGAATATACTGGGTATGTTGATGTTGATGATGATGATGTATTAATATATAAAAATAAAATAATATATTTTCAAATTATATATAAATGGTGTTTTTAGTTTTATTTTTATATAAGTATTTAATATATCTAACTAAACAATAAATAAAAGTAAGATTTCAATATTTTTTTGAATTTTATTTAATATATTTTAATCATTATTTATAATATGTATTATATATTTATTTTTTATTATTATTTTTTAATTTTATTTTTTGAAAAATTGATTCCTACACACATGGGAATGAAAAAACATTCCATGAACTATGGAATGGCTAATCCCATGGAGATGGGTTTTGTCATTCCAATAGGAATGATCATTCCTTTCCAAAACCAATCATGGGATAAGGAATAAGTAAGGAATGATCATTCCATTCCCATGTCATTCCCTCATACCAATCATGCTCGAAGGCTATGAGCTTATAGCTTATTTGGTTAGCTTATAAGATTCATGTATTTAAATAAGTTTTGTTTGGTAGGATGATTTTTTTTAAAAAACTCGAGCTTATCTCATAAGCTTTTAGGTAGTTTTTCAAATAAGTTTGTTGACATTTTTATTTCAACTAGCTTATCAGCTAATTTTACAAAACACTTTTATCATCTAAAAGCTAGTTTTTCAGCTATAAGTTATAAGTTTCAAGCTATAAGCTCGAAAATAACTTAACAACTATCAGTTGCATCTAATTTTACTAAACATAACCTAAGTTACAAATCTGCCAATAGCTCCTAGATAAAGGTAGAATAACATGATACCTTGTTAAACTGTTCCTGCAAAGAGCTGTCGGCAAAGAGCTGTCGGCACCTTCAGAGCCCGACCCAATGGCTTTTGCATTGCATTGCCAGAAAGTGCCCGAGGGATCTGTATAGTATCTATGCACGAAAAAGTCCTAATTAAATTATATGGTATGTAGGAAAAAGTCCACTTTATTCAACAGGCGTACTCCTTACAGAGACTGTTTTGACATATCGAAAGAGTTTTCGCACTCCTTTTTTGTCACATAGATAATGCGTAAAAATTATAATCAATCTCAGAAATTCAGCACATTTTGGTTGATATAATGAGAGTGTATATGTCAGGCAGATATGAACAGTGCAGAGGACCACATAGCATATACCAGTCGAAACTGAACTACTTACAAGCTGGGTCCATTCTCATCATCGCCAGCAATGAGAAGGGATACGCCAAAAGGTCTCGACTGCAATAAAATAAGAAAATGGATTTGTTAAGAAAGTAGAAATCACATGGGTGAAATTCTAAGTGAAAGAAACAAAAAAGAAAACATATAAATAAAATATTTAATGGGGAAAATAACTATAACTCCAAGGCTTAGCTTTATCATATAGATACTTCTAAAGAGCTGTGAGCTGAGTTATCCTAAAATTCGTAAATGTGAAACAGCAACAATACATAATTTCGACTAAAACAATCATGCTGCCAATCACAATCCATAACCAAGTGAAATAACACTCAGTCAAAAAGGAATGTCCAAAACTAACTAGTATTTTTTTCCCTCAAATTTGCGTATCTTTATGGACATTAAAAGAAGCTATTTTACCATTGATTACTCATCCCCTTCGCCAAAGCGCAAGGCAAGGTCACAAAGAGCTTGAGTAGTGGACTCAACAGTCATGGGCTCACCATACGAAAACCTATGATTCTAGAAGATGCAAGAGCCAAAGATTATACATTGAACAAAACGGATGTAAAGTATTTGTCCATAAAGAAAGATAGGGTTTAATATTTAAATTTCAATCTAGGTGAAGAATTACCTGGGTCTCAACTCGTGCATGTTCAACCAATGTGCGGGCATCAGCAATTAGGCCACTCATAGCACACCCTATATGATCATCAATCTCCATAATTTTCTCCACACTACTAGGCTCCTAAAAAACAGTTTAATGTAGTATTTAGTGTCAACATATGATGAAACGAAAGAATACACATCAGCAAACAGCTTTACGTAACAATCTGGCAGCAAAATGCAATGCAGCTAGTATACATATTGGTCCTCAATTTAGAGTTCTTGACATTTTATGATCCAGCAATTAACTTGATAAATAAGTACTCGCCATGAAAGTCAGAAAACCGACACGCCGGTTCTATAATAACATTTTTCTTAAGCACTCGAAAACTTACCATTCTTACTAAAGTATCAAACACAGCACAAGTCGAAACAAGATCATCAGGTGAAAACTCAGTCATCGAATGAGCTATTTATAGACTCCCAAATGAATCTCAAAACTCCTTATGGATCAAAAACATACCAAAAGTGGTGAGGTAATGCGCTTCTCTACAGCAAGAACTACGCCCTCCTTGGTCTTTATCCCAATTGCAGTTGAACCCAACTATAACAAAAACAAAATTAAACCCATGTCTATAAAACTATATAAAAAAGAACCCATTACAATTATATATTCAAATCAGAAAAACTAGCGACCTTGATAGCTTCAATGGCGTACTCGACTTGAAACAGTCGACCTTCAGGGGAGAAAGTGTTGAACCCTCTATCGTACTCAGTCCTTTAGGAAACACAAAACCCATAAACCATTATTTCAAAACATATCTACGCAAAACCCACACACATACCTGAACCAAAATCCTGGAAAAAATCCCAATTCGACCGCAAAACGGGATTTCATCTTACCTGGTGAGGAACATTTTCGATACACCAAATCTGCTGCGAAAACATGCATTCAACAGTTAAATTGAGGTAATTAGCGCAGAATTGAGACTTATAAGAGCTGATAAATTTGTTTAATCGAGCTGATTAGAAGAGGGTACAGAAAAAACAATCGGAAAAGAAAAATTGAAATGGATCTAAATCAGACTAACCTTAACCCTAATGAAGAGAAGATAAAGCTAAGCAAAGCAAAATTTCTTCGCGTAGGACAATATTGAAGAATGTACTTTTATTACTGTAATTTATGCTACTGAGCGAGCTTTCTTCTTCCTCGTCTTGTCAAGCAAGGCACAATGGCACATGAGTTGCAGGTCTTTTTGGGCTTTGTCTGTAGTTTGCAATCAGAATGGCCCATTGATGCGGCCCACATAATATTCATACTTGGGCCATATAGGTACGCCGATAGTCATTTCTTCTTTGTAGATTTTCGATAAGCCCGTCATGTGTAAGTTCTAAGCCCAGCTACCTCTCTACTGGATTAATTTTCTTGGGCCAGCCAAGCCTAACTTGTGTGGTTATTGAAGAAATTATATGGATTAAGTGAATCATTTTAAAATCAGAAAAATAAAGTAAATTTGTTTCATAAGATGAGGCTGATTAAATCAAATTAATTAATTTTCAAATTCTGTTAAGCTCCATCACATTCAAAAGTTTTATTTTATTTATCAATTTCCAATAATTCATAAACAAATGCGTGAAATTATTTAATAAATAATTGTAAATGACTCCATAAATTATTGTTGTCACACGACATCAAAACATATCAATTCATACTGGTGCGGTCCTACGCACGTGAAGCGCACTATAACATAGATGAAACCTAAGTAAAGTTCCATTTCAAAATCCATTGGTAGGAGGAGGAGGAGTAGCCGGCTAGACTTATAAATTAGGCCTAATTTCTCTATATAAACGACGTGGGCAACTCACAAGTGAATTTTCTAATATGTTCGTGGTATAATTTTATTTTATTTTTGGCAAAAAAAAGAAACTCATCACAAATAATGTGTTGTTATGATGACAACTGCAACTTATGTTTGTAAGCTTTACAATCTGCATACGGAACGGAACAACAGTACTTTTATTTCCCCTGACCTTTTGCAGACCCTTTTGGCTAAACTATTCAAACAATAAATCTATTCCTATACACTGTACATCCATAGCTTGTTTGTCTGTTTGTCTGTGACATTTTGTGTGTGTGTGTGTGTGTGTTTCCTCTTTATTTTTTACT